AAGAATAACAATTTAGTCCCTCTGTAAATTCTCTTTGCCACCTTGAAGAATTCTCAGTTACTTAAAGTGTAGATAGACGGCCGGGAAGTAAGAAAACACACAGTCAAATGTATCCTCAATACTTCAATTTATTCATAGAAATACAGATATTATATAGGCATATGTCGAGGGGAGTTTCACCCTCTTAACCAATGAGGATATGAATAACATACACATAGGATCTTTGGCCAAGAACATGTGTTTATATAAAATGGCCACATGTACCTCATTCCTAGCTATCATGTCCTTATTTGGGACATTTGAACCAAGAGAAGCTAATGTATACATTTAAGCATGCATACCTCGCATATAAGTAAGACATATTTAAAACATAATATCAAGAGAGAGAGATGGATACAGAAGGGGGGATTCAGAGAGAATGCGTTGTATATATAGAATGAGAGAGATGGAGAAAAAGGAGGGGTGAGGCATGTCTGGAATCAACAGAAAGACAGAGAGTGTTTTCTAACAGTAACACTTTACAATAAGGTTCCTTCAGTTAACCCATCACCCAACATTAACTAATAACAATACATTTATAACAGTATTGATTAATATTTTTTAATGTTTATTGTTAGTTTATAGATATTGTCCATTAAGTAACAGACACAACTTCTAATTTAAATGATGCATTAGTAAATGTTTTATAGTAGTATTTTAATCGTTCATTCAAGTTAGCTAACATAATGTTAACAAATGCAAACTTATTGTAAAGAGTAGCTTGACAATAATTTAGTTTCATTACTTTTTCTAGTGACAGTGGTTGGCAATACCGATTCCTAACCCTAAATATGGTATTTTGGCGGAAACTATGTACATTGTGGTCATTTTCTGAGCTGCACGTACCTTTGTGTGCTGGAGGAGGTGTGTGTGAACTTCTGGAAACTGACATCTGGTCAGTGTCCTTCTGCCCATCGTTCTTACTACAGAAATGAACTCCTGTGTAGAGCGATCGAGTGTGATTAAATGTCCACTTAGACGAAGGACATCGGTTTGTTTGAAAAACAGGTGGTTGTGTGTAAAAAGCTGAAATCTGTAGTGGTAATCTGACATGCACGCGTTTTAATAAGTGCTGCACGCAATTTGTCGTTCTTCCTATTCTGAATACTGAATACATCATGATTCCTTCTAGTATAAATGATCTGTCTAAACAGTTAATCTTAACGATATACCGTGCATCATTTTGAATAACATGTTTTTTAATGCTGACTTTCACATGTCTACTTATCGCTTAACAAGTAGTTATATTGAACTGGATGGCTTCACGCCTTTTGCCTTTATATTTCAAAATAAAAGTTCCGATTCACTAGAGAGGCGACTCAGAATTTATCACTGGACTATCTTATGGTAGTAAAATATTTAACTGTAACACTAACAAACACAAAACAGTTTTACAATATTTCAAGAGGCTGCATTTTAAAATTCTAGAAACTGCATCTGGCCTAATTACAATAGAGTAACCAAAATAAAACATTAGTAGTCTGGTAGGCCTTTCTTTCTTTCTTTCAATACAAAAATAAAACTAATCAGAACAAACATACAATCAGGTAAAAAACTATTTGTGGAACATTATTTGTCTGCAAACTTCAATGGCAAATCTCATCCAGCAACTTAATTATGAGCATTCATTTGGTATTTGGAATTACTCATAGTATTTTAACTTTGTAAATGAAAGTCAATAAATGAAATGCATTATGTATTCATGTTGTAAAGACACATTTCGGTCTCTTTTGCGTTGTAGTAAATTGGCTACATGGCATCTTCATTTTTAAAGTGAAAAAAAAAAGTGAAGTGACATGTGGCCAAGTATGGTGACCCATACTCGGAATTAGTGCTCTGCATTTATCCCATCCAAAGTGCACACACACAGCAGTGAACACACACACACACACACACCGTGAACACACACCTGGAGCAGTGGGCAGCCATTTTTTGCTGCGGCACCCGGGGAGCAGTTGGGGGTTCGGTGCCTTGCTCAAGGGCACCTCAGTCGTGGTATTGAAGGTGGGAGAGAGCGCTGTACATTCACTCCCCTCACCTACAATCCCTGCTGGTACGAGACTCGAACCCGCAACCTTTGGGTTACGAGTCCGACTCTCTAACCATTAGGCCACAACTTCCCAAATATGTTATAGTACTTGTAGCGTCTGGAACACTCCAACACACAATATATATTTTGTTAGCTAGATTTCACAAATACTTTGTAACACCCCAGGACGCCGAACAAGACCCTGGTTTCATGGTAACCCGATACATTTACAACCTTGTGGAATGCGAGCCGGCTCTCATTCTGCTTTCTCCAGAAACAAAGGGACACAAATGCACAGGAGAAATGGACTTTTCTACTAATTAATTCATAGGAAAACCTTCTTTGAATGAACACCCATTTTGTTATAGTACTGTATGTTCATGTTATAGTAACATCCTAGATTCAATTTTGACATTTGTATTCCATAACCTGCTGGATTTTGTTTCAATTACAATTTCCATTCATCTATGAAAGTGTCCATGACATATACTATTATTTTTCTTATTTGTAATCAGTGTATACATATCACCAGCTAACACATGCCTTAAAACGTCTTTCTAAAAGCCTGTCTAGGGTACATATATAAAATCACTTTCAAAGTAGTCCAATAGAATATGTTTGTATCACTTTATTTAAAACAATCTGTCCAGCATAAATCAAATATATTAACGAAATACGTTGTCAAATTAATAGGTTTGTCAAATCATAAGTAGAAGCGAAATAATCTGACATAGTGTGCAACTTGATACCAATTCTTTGAAAGACTTGCTCGGCACACTTACATTTTACTGTATGCATAGACATGACCATAATTGACCTTAATGTTGTACATTAAGAGAATAAACATCTGAGATGCTAGTCAGAGACATCTAACTAGGCAATAGTTACAGTAAAATCACTCCTGTAAAAGGAGGATTACAAACTACACCTGTTTATCGGTTGGTTCAAGTATCGCACCGTATGGTTTAAAGGTCTTGAACTATGCTTCTCACAAAGTAAAAACGCTATGCATCTACTCAGGACATTACAGTTCGTATTGAAAAATAATCTGAGCATTACAATCATGAAATCAGAGGAAACAAAAACATGTCTCATGAATGAAAAATGTACATCAGTTTGTGTATTCAGTTTCAGTCCAGTCTGAAAAATGTTTTAGTCCCCAAGAGCTTCACAGTATCAGCTACTTTTGCAAGAGATGGTGTCAAGATATTCCCATAGACTGCATGGATATTCCCCATCAAATTAAAAAATTTGACAAAGTAGCAATTTCTCAAAAAGTTCTTTGAGGCTGTTTCCACAAGATGTCAGTCAGGAGAGGTGTAGGGTATGATGTAACAGCCTGCAAAGAAATCAACAGACCATTAAACGTCACATCTGAAAATTGATTTCATTCACATTCACATTCCATATTCATGTTTAAAAGAATAGTCTCACCACTGATGTGTTGATATTTACATTACTGTTCAAAAGTTTGTGGCCAGACTGGTAAGATTTAGTTTTTTATTGTTTATGGAGAAATATCTTACGCTCACCAAGGCTGCATTTATTTGGTCAAAAAAATACAGTTTAAACAGTAATTGCAAAATAAAATATGTTTGGTTATATATTTATAAAATATTATGTATATTTTAAAATGTAAAGTAAAGCTGAATTTTCAGTATTTAGTGTCACGATCATCATTCTAATGTTGAATTTGTGCTCAATTTTTAATGTTGCAGAAACCATTTTTCCCGGGATTTTTTTGATGAATATAAAGTTTAAAAGAACATTTTTTTTTTGAAAATTGAATCTTTTGTAACATCATAAATCATTATGATAAACTCAGTATTGTGAGATATAAATTAGCAATTCTGAGAAAAAAAAATAGAATTTTGAGATATAAACTTTTTTTCTGGCCATAGAATAAAAAAAAGGGTAATTGCATTTTTACTGAGTTTATATTGTGTTTTTTTTTGTTTTGTTTTTTTACAGAACTGTGAGAAAATTCTGAATTGTGACATAAGTCACAATTAGCTTTTGTTATTTTAAAACTTGTATTTAAAAAGTGTATGCAACACATAAAATGACATTTTAAAGTAACAGACTTAAAACATATATATATATAACATGCAAAAATTTTAAAAAGTTGGAACAAACCTTTTGTGCCTTCCACTTCAGATGACATTTTGTCTACATATAATAAGAAAGTGTAAATTCACCCATAATGTTAATTCATTTATTAATTAATCAAAATAATTATATTTATATTATATTAATATTATATTATATTAATAATAAATATTTTCCTTTGTTTATATAGTTTAAATTCTAAAACAAAACAGTCAAGACAATAACCAGACAGACAGAAACACTGATAATTCATTTTAATCTGTATGGTGACACTAGTTTAAAAATGTAGCTTGAAAAAACAGGGACATTTGACATACTGTGTGTGTGTGTGTGTGTGTGTGTGTGTGTGTGAAAGAGAAAGAGAGAGAGAGAGAGAGAGAGAGAGAGAGAATATGATGTTTTAATGTCTTGAATATGGGGTTTTATAACGGTCTGTTGATATCACATCTGACATTCACCGCAGGTTAATGGACCACACAAAAGCATGAAAAGTAAACTTAAGATTTATAATTACTAATATCTTTATTTATTATAAGTTTATTGTTCTTTGACAAAGCATAAACTCTGCTCGTATTGGTGATTCAGCTGTTGAACAAATCATCTACAAAAGATAGAACACCGTTAACATACAAAGTTTATGTGCTACTAAAATGTAGCAAATGTTAACTCACTGTTATCCATCATTTGTCCTAAACAACAGCAACTGGAAGAGTTTATGGTATTTCAAAACTTATTTATGTAAAGGAAATATATCATAGTTTAATCATTGATGGCATTTTATGTTTAAATGTTATGATTTATTGAATTATGATGATTAGCATGCAGTTAGTAAGTATAGCAGTAAACTAGGGGAGGGAAGGGCTTAGTGTCATTCCATTTGTTATATATATATATTTTTTGTAATTAAACCTATCTACAATAAATTAGTCTTGGGTTCGATGCTGCACCTAAATGCACAGTCACTCACTTTAAAAATGAGAAAGAAAGTGTGCATGCAAATCTTAACATTAAAGTGAATTTGACAAATATGTGAATAGAAAGTGTTCGCTGAAAGTCACAAATATCCGACATCTTAAATAAAAGTGTTTTGACAAATAAAAAGACAACTTTTGGTGGCAAAAGATGACAATAAAACACATGCACTACAACAGTCCTGAAAGGCCTAATTCACATCTATTAATTTAATGTTCTGCAATCCTCAATAAGTAACCATAACAAAGGCAATGAGCCTAAATTAGGAGCTACATGTTAAAACGATTTCATCACAGTCACTTCTTTTGTTACCGAATCCATGTCCTCCTTTACATCTGCAGGTTGTTTTGATAAATTTGTCTTTAAAATGTCCATGTTATTATCATGCTGGTGTATATCTCCGGTCCACATTTTCATATTTCATTGAAGCCCGTTCGTACTGATCCAGGATTGCACTATTTTCAAGAAGTCTACGTGACGGAGACAATGCGTGATGGGAGATGAGAAAAAACACAGCATTGCACATTACACAGTGTGACACACACAAAATCACTCGCAAAGCTCGAGCATAACAAAATCATCATTAATATGAAGAAATGCTGCTCTTTATAGATAAGACAATAACTCCATGACTCAATGTTTAAAAGTATAATACACATCAAAGTATATCACAATATCTATAGGTAAAATGAAAGAGTGTTTTGAAAGTTTACACAAATTTGTGTTACTTTTTAAAATTTAAAGCTAACAAAGACATTTTTTCAAAGGATATTTCGCCAAAAAGGAAGCTTTTCGCATTATTTACTCACCCTCCTTGTTTCTGACTTTCTTTCTTCAGTGTAACACAAAAATAACCCTTAAACGAACTTAAACGAAAAGTACAAATGTTTTACCTTGGAAACTAACTGAAATAAATACGTTGAAGTTCTAAAATGACAAAAAATGACTAATTACTAAAAACTATATAAATACATAGAAATGTTTTAAAGGGGTCATATGATGTGATTTCAAGTTTTCCTTTCTCTTTGGAGTGTTACAAGCTGATTGTGCATAGATAAGATCCCTGAAGTTGCAAAGACTAAAATCTCATAACCAAAGAGATATTCTTTATCAAAGTTAAGACTCTGCCACACACCCCTAAAACGGCTCATTCTAACACACCCCCACATATCTAGGTCACTATGTGGGAATATCTGCATAATGCGCCCAAATGTGCACGCAAAGAAAGAAGGCGTGGTTTCAGTAACGCAGTTAGTGTTGAAGCAGCATGTCAGGGAGACGCTGTGTGTTTCTAGGCGAAAGCAAAAGCACTTTATTTGGCCTTCCGAAAGTAGATGCATTTAGGAATCTTTAAGATGACTTACAACAGAACAGCAATGCATTTTATGGACGACCGTTTCGTGAACCTAGGAGAGGAGGTAATTCTGACTTTGCTATGACAATCTGGCGCTTCTGAATCAGCTGCTGTAAGTATGTTTTGTTATTAGTTTAAGTATTTGCTATTGACTGTTCAAATGCAGAGTTTTGCGCATTGTGTGTATGTGCACGCGCGTGTGCGAGTGTGTGTGTGTGAGAGAGAGAGAGGGGGTCACATCACAGTAGAGTCAGCTGTCTTAACCGCGGCTTGTGTACTGCATCATTACTGTGTCTGTTCCCCTTTCGGGCTTGAACTGATGGTAAAACTAATGACATTATTTACTGTCTTTACAATTATTTTGAAAGATGAAGCTTGCAATTATGGTAAGGGGCATTACATTTCCGACGAGTACTTGTGGTGTTCGGCCAATCACAATGCACTGGGTCAGCATGATATATATGTATAATGTATATATATAGCTAATTCTAAATAATAATAAATACTATAATATTATATATAATAATAATAATAATAAATACTGAAATAATTAACCTAATTACTAAAACTATAATTAAAATTCAAGAATGTAACCTTTGCAACTAACTAAAAGAAATATGTTGGATATATACTGTATATATATATTTATATATATACAGTGGGTACGGAAAGTATTCAGTCACTATGTATATACATACACACACAAGGTATGAACTAATTCAAAATATAAAAAAATACTATAACTGTGTATAAATAATACTAAAATAACACTGGTGAATGATACTCTTTTTGTCATTTTGGACAAGGTAGCCAAAATATACTTTGAAAATTCACCTTTCATGATCCACTGAAGAAAGTCAGTCAGGGTGAGTTAAATAACCGAATTTTCGTTTTTTAAAAGCACTCCTGTTTTTGTTCACAAACTATAATTTCGGAATAATGGCTCAAAGTGTATGTAAGACAAGCATAGGTGGCCCTCAATGAGGTGTTGTGCTTTGGCTGCCCTATACTTTTTATTATCTTGTAATAAGTAGTTGAGTTTGCCTTTGATTGGATCTGAAATGTATGTTTTGATATCCTCAATAAAAATCATCAAATTGATTCCATGCACATCAGAACAGAGCATGATAACATACAAAACAAATGAAAGAAAGCTCAAATGACAAGCAACATATAAAAGAATCTCACCAATAAGCAAAGATGATCACATGGTCCTAATGATGACCATCTCAATGACAATGAAGGGTTTTGACAAAACAGAAAAAAAAAATCGTCACTGACTCACAGTGACTAGACAAACATTTAAATACATGAAATTGAGTGTGTTTAAAGAGTCTTACCTTCAAGATTGTCTGTTACACCCTAGTTGTGTTGTACTCAGATTCATGTTTGTTTAGAGACCCAATGAGGCAGAACCTGGAATATCATTGCTTGTATGTTTAATATCATGGTATTTGTTGCATAAGGAATTATAATGCACATTTAATTTGCTTGGGGTCTAGTTCTCTTGCATCCTGTCAGAGGAGCAATAAAAAACATGCTCAAAATGTGCATGTACATAATAAGTTTCTCTTTTTTACACTGAAAATTACTTCATTAAGCTTCAAGAACTGGAGGAATAGAAGCACTATCTTTTTAGCACACTTTTTTCATGTCCTTTCTCTTGGACCTGGTGAATTTATTTTTTAAAATATAAAAATATATTTTACAACTGTTTGGGGTCGGTAATATTTAAAAATATTTTTTTATATTGCCCATTAAGGCCTATGCCCATTAAGGCTCCATTGATTTCATCAACAATGCAGAAAAAAACTGTAATATTTTGGAATATTATTAAAATGTTAAAATAACTGTTTTCTATTTTAATATATTTAAAAATTTAATTAATTCCTGTGATGACAAAGCTAATATATATAAAAAAAAAACAGTTGTGCTGCTCAATATTTGTATGGAAATGTATTTGTATATTTGTATATGCAATCTTGATGCATTTTATTTCAGGATTCTTTGATGAATTTAAAAGTTGAATTATAAATAACATTTTAATTGTCTGTACTGTCATTTTTGCTGAAAAAAATTATAATTTTATTTCAAAATAAAATTCTTACTGACCCCAAACTTTTAAACACTATATAACCATATCGAAATAGAAGACGTTTGCTAATTTAAAAATATAATATTCTCTCTGAAAATGAACCTCTAAAAATACAAAAAAAGTCTGCGTTTATCCCTCATTTCCATCTTCATGTAGCATATATATAGCTGAACATTAATTAATCTTAAGATGTCAGCTTTGCTGATAGAAGGCTGTAAACCTGCAGCAGGCATATTCTTAAAGCATCTTTTGCATCTCTATGACTTTTACAAACCCAACTCTGACCGTGATGGCTGTCTTAGTGACAAAAAAGAGAAGATAAAAAAAGAATGAAATAAGAAAATAAAAAACCCGCTAAAAAAATCAATGAGAAGCTGAGTAGAGGAGCTAAAAAGAAACAAAAAGTGGGAGTAAATCGTTCCAAAATATGCAATAAGATGAATTTTTCTCATCAAAAATCAATGGATACTGACCGCTGCACTGCTTTCTCGTGTCTGGACAATCTGTGGCTGGTGGTGGGCACTTCATCCAGGTCATCGTCCAGGTCACAGGCATCAGCGGCGTCTTGTGAGTAGGTGTGTCTCATTACCAGAATGTTCCTGCGGTTGGTTTGGGGAGGAAGCGGCCGCATCGGTTGCGGCGGGAGGTCTGTCAGGATGGCGGCTGTCGCCTCGCGGGCGCTCAGGTTCGTGCGGCTGCCCTTGTTGCTGGGCAGCTGCGAGGAGCCGCAGTGATGCTCGTGGACACAGCGCGAGGAGGCGCGCCGGAGCTTGTGGTAGCTCTCAAAGTCCTCGGCCAGCTCGGCCAGGTCTGCGGAGGTGGCCGCCGCGCTGCGGAGAGTGCAGAGCTCGTAATGCGGCGGCTCCTGGAACACCTCCTGGAACATGGTGGGGTCAAAGTCCTCCCGCCTCAGGATGTACTTCTTCCGCGGCTGCTTGATTTGGACGATGACCGATACGACCAGGAGGATCAGTACGATGCAGCATGTAACGCCGATGATGGTGCCGTTGGTGTTGTTGAGGTTGTCCAGGATGTTGGCTTTCCGCTTTTCTGCAAAACACAACAGGAAGCGTAATAAATTATTACTGCAGGCATGCAATGTCATCACGGGTTACCGTCTGTTGAAACTGTTGTATCAAAGAGATTACAAACAGCACACAGAAGTAGTAAATCATTCTAATGGGAGAGCTTTGACATTTATGTAGCACAGAGAGCGTATGACATCTGTGCTGGCTTTGGTTCAATGGAGAGGAGCGTTTGTATTCGGAGGTGCAGACAAACCACAAATGAAGGCTTTATGATATGTTTCCAAAATTAAATATGATGTTATTGAACTAAAACCAAAACAAATTATTCAAATATTATCTGCATATTTTCTTTGTATATATTATTTTTTAATATTAATTCCATAGTAGTATTAATTGTAGCATTGTAAATAATGTTTTTTTTTCTTATTGTTCATCTTGGTCTGAGGAAAATATTATATAAAGTGCATTGTATTCTAAAGATGACATATTATGTGATATATAATACATACAATTTCCATTAAATAATTAAATAGTTTGGCTTTTATAATGTTGTAGGATATCAGACTGAATCAGACAATCTAAGATTTGGTCAAAACATGGTTGAAACATGAGGAGCCGAATTCCACAGAGGCCCAAGACAACAGGATGTTCATAAATCAGATCCTAGCACTAGCCAGTCTGAAGCAAGCCTAACCAACTCTTTCAAAGAACAGACCTTCAGAGATTCCTTACAGACTTCTTAATCTCTGGTCTTCATATATTCACATACATTCACAGAATGGCACAGAAACTGTCTTTCCATGCACCTAAATGACACTAAAAGGACTTGTGAGCAACTAATCATTTCTATGCATAACTCCATATTATGTATGTAACCCACATGTGACTATCAGGTCTTAATCATTTATTGTGTATGTATTTTGAATAACTATTGAATAGCTTAAGGGTTCATATTCATGTTTAGTATGCGTGTGTTTGAATCTTCTTGCTTGAAACGTTTCTTCCAATCAATTCTTCGTCAAATGTATCATATTCTTGTTATAGAAATCATGTCCAAAAGTATACTCTGCAAGAGTGTTAAAACTCGGACCATGTGCCTGATGAGATAACATTTTGATTTATGAATTGGGAGGAGAAATATACAACACCCCAAGCACCATTTGGGAGGTGTCCAAAAGCCCAGTTTAAATACTCAGGACACCATCAAATCACTCTCTTCTCTCTTCCCACATCCTCTTCTTTTTTGGTCATGGCTTCTAGCCGTGCTTTTCAGTCATCACCTTTTTGCGCTCTTTGAGCGTGCTCTGGCTTACACGCCAATTCCTCCAAAACCATGAGGAGAAACGCCACCTAGTCTCGTCAAACTTTACTTCTATTTCTTTACTTTAGTTTATTTTATTTTCCGTTGAGAGTTTCGTGTTCCGAGTTAAGTTTTGCCTAATCAATGAATTGCTGGCCGTCTCAGTGATCAGCCGTAAAACAGTGATTCTGTCCAAATTCCCTTTAAAATCTTAAATTATTCCCTTTGAGCTAAACTGACCTGTTTCCCTTACAATGTCATTTTACTAAACCTAAAACTAATTTTTCAAATATTATCGTTGTATACGTACTCTACACATAATTTTCTTTGTATTTATTATTTTGTTTTAATTTTAATTATTTTGTAATATTTACTGTATTATTGTAAGTTGTTTTTTATTTACTTTTTATTTCATACTGTTGGTTTGGGGAAAATATTAAGTATTGTGTTTAAAGCTGACAGTGAATATATGATATATCATACATAATGTATTGTTTAAATTAAATAATGTGGCTTTTATGATGTCATTGTACTAAAACCAAATCAAATGATTCAAATCAGTAAATATAATCACACTAATTAATAATAATAATAATAATAAATAATACTAATTATTTAGTAATATTTACTTTGTATTTTTTTACTTCTTACTTTTCATCTTGGACTGGGGAAAATATTAAGCTCTGTATCACAAAGTTGACATTTATTTTATATTCTTTATATTTATTATTTTTTATTTATATTTAAAATCTTCTACTGTTTTTTTTATTACTATTTTAAACTAAATAAAAAACATGTGATTAATATTTCAAATCAATCTTTAGAAAGCAAAGTGTTTTATAAAATTTACTTTAGTAAATGTGGTAAGAAATGTGTTAAACATAGTTAATTAATATCTGAAACCTAAATATAAATAAAATACATTTATATAGTGTTTTTTTCATCTGAAATGTTCAATGGACCACCAAACTGATTATCATTCAATTAACTTAAGTATTTATTATATCAATTAAGTTATGAATTTAATTAAAACTAGTAATATTGGACAAATATCAAGGATGTTCAAAGTTTTAGGCAAGATATTTTGTTAATAAATGAGCAAAAACAACTTTTTAATGTATTTATTTATTAATTTATTTTTAACAATTTGTGCTAAAACACCTCTCCCGTATCCTAATTCAGTTAATTCAGGACAGCTTATGTGAAATATAAGCACAGATATAGCCCAACCACACAGTCTGAGCCACAGTCATTCACATATACAAATTAATTTCTAGTGGCCAGCTCATTTTTCCCAGCGCCATTACGGTGGCGTATGCAGAGTCAATAGAGGTTTGAGGGCTTTATAACAAGGTCTTTTTTAACAACTGAGTGCTCGTAAAACCAGTGAGATATATTTTGAGTTGACTAGCTATCAAGTGTGAAGGGGACAAACATTAAGACAATGCTTCTCCCCAAGTATTGATTTTCATTTGGAGAAAAACAAAGGCGGACATATCCATGTACACTGAGAGGATACTGAAAAAAAGCATGATTTACCTTTGCAGTGGTTTTCATCCCAAGGGTAGACGCAGTTCTGGATTCCGTTGCACACCAGCGTGTTGTTGATACACATGTTACTGTGGCAAAAGAAAGTATCTGCCTCACAGGGAGCTGATGAGAGGAAAAATAGATAATAGATAATGCTAATGTCATATTACACTTCATTTCTTCCTGTTAATAAGATGCTGTCTATAATCTTACCCTCTGAACACAATTAATCTCACAAATCACACTGGATGTCTATCTGACTGTGTCTGTGCATCAATAAAGTTCAAATTTAGAAACCCATTACTCAAACCAACCAAATCAAATTCTGTTGCCTTCTGCTAGGCATGGATTTTAATCCAGCTTTTCAAATATGCATGGAAACAAGTCTGTAGAAGCTGCACAGATATTTTGTAATATTTCTATTAATATTTTTCTGGTTTAACCCAAAGAAGGGGTCTATATAAGCATAAACAGTGAATTTAAATACTTAAAGGGATAGTTCACCCAAAAATGAAAATTCTGTCATCATTTATTCACGCTTAAGTGATATGAGTATGACTTTTATTTCTTCTGTTGAACACACAAGAAGATCTTTTGAAGAATGTTGGTAACCAAACAGCTGCTGGTAGCCATTGACTTCCATAGTATGGAAAAAATACGAAAAAGTCAATGGATACCAACTGTTTGGTTCCAAAAAAATTCATACAGGTTAGAATCAACATGAGGGTATGTAAATGATGACAAAATTTTCATTTTTGGGTGAACTATCCCTTTAATACATTAAAAAATCTTGAGATAACACGAGTTTCTGCTAATTGCGTAGATGTAATTAAAGGGATAGTTCACCCAAAAATTTAAATACTGTCATTAATTACTCATCCTCATGTCATTCCAAATCTGTAAGAACTTTGTTCATTTTTGAAACACAAATTAAGACTGAATTGAAAATTACAGCTGAACCACTGATGTCACATGGACTATTTTAATGATGTCTTTACTACCTTTCTGGGCCTTGAAAGTGTCAGTTGCATTGCTGTCTATGGAGGGTCAGAGAGGTCTCGGATTTCATCAAAAATATCTTAATTTGTGTTCCGAAGATGAACGAAGGTCTTACAAGCTTGGAACGACATCAGGGTGAGTAATTAATGACAGAATTCACATTTTTGAGTGAACCATCCTTTTAATGCAGGCACAAACTGCAAGTACTTTAATATTTCCAAAAGTGCTAATATCACTCAAGATCAAAGAAGATTAATCTAATATTAGTGTTATATGTAAAAAATATATTAGGGTGGGTGTTCAATCTCTTCATTTTGAGTTGAAAAATGAATGAATGTCTCAGCTGAAATCATGAAATGAGAAATGAGAAAGCATTCATAAAAAGAACCACTCATAACATTTACAACATTTATCAGCAGACTCAATTAAAGCCAAGGTGACTTTCAGAAGGGACGGGGCTTCGATCTCAATCACCACGCATACATAAGTACCTCACACGCCCACCAGTGTGTGGCCATTTCCCACATTCCTCACTTGGCATGCTTATTTTGCAGTCTGCAGAGGACATAGATCACCCAGTATGTACAGAAAACCCCTAAAATAACACCGCTTCAAGGTTGACTGGATGTACCTTGTGGATTTATTAATGACCTATTCCTGAGCTGTTCCCAGGTGAGAAATAACAACGTAAATTAGGATGAGTCATCATTCCAGCAGATCTGTTCTCACGACTTTCGACTTCACTTTCTGATTCAGTTTCACTTTCCACCACAAGGTGGCGCTGCAGGCCTGTACTTTTCCTATGTAAGTCACTAAATGAGACTGGACTTTATTTAAAGGTGATTCAACCTCAATATATTATTAGTCATTTCCTGAGACCTTATAATGACATTATAACACTTATATTGTAACACTTTACAATATGGTTTCATTTGTCAACGTTGCATTAGCTAATTTGAACTATCATTTTGCTATTTTTTTATAGCATTTATTAATAGTTGCAATATTTGTATGTTATTTTATGTTGCTAATGTTAACAGATAAAATATTTGATTTAAAAAAATTAGGGTTAGGGTTAACCCTATTTATATGATCTAAATTTAATAAATGCTGTAGATAATATGCTCATTGTAAGTTCAGGTTAACTAAATTATTTAAAGCTGCAGTCCATAAGTTTTGCCTCTTTGTCGCCATCTCTGTTTGAAAACCTGCAATTGCAGCTGTGTGTGGAATTATATTCCATGTTTTGAGGTGAATGTGTGGCAGTCAGTCACTGCACCGGTGTGGATATTTACTGTACTTCGCAATCACAGATTCTAGCATACGGCTTGGAATATATGACCCAAATAAGAATTTTCACCGTATATTGTCATCTGAACAAGTAAGTAACAAGTCTGCCACGTTTGTTCTGACCAACTGATGAAAAAAGGATTACAATAAATCGTGCTATCAATTGTGATTAAGTGTAACGATCGGTTAGCTCATATCACATCAAACTGTTCAAATTATTATTATTGTTATACTTTTTTCTTAAATTATTAATGTTAACATCAGCATTGCATGACTATGAGTATAGTGTGTATTAGTGTGTGATTTCAGTTTCTGTACAGTTTAATCTAATTGTCATACCATTCGAATTTCATATTAAGAAATTCTTTTAACCCAAAAAGCAAATTATGCTCCCTTCGAACTGGTTGTCTTTAAAATACAGATCTTGTGTAATCCCAGGCCATCTGTAATCAGATGCACATTTAAAACTGGAATATAATTGAATTTCATTCACATGTGTTTCATAAACACATGATCCTTTCTGGATTACAATACGCCATCAAAATGATAAAATGAATTATTCTAGCTGCTGTGAGAAAAGGCTGTAAACGATCGGCCACCTGCAGGGTCCTCACATGCGATATAGCCTACTAGCCGGGACAACTTCTTTATGTTTACAGACGTGACGTAATGACGCAGCGGCATGCTCGCGAAAACCTACCCGTACCACTCAAATTAGAAAACATTATTATAAGCTGACCGTTGTGAATCGGGCTAAAGTAAGGCGATAGTTTTGAACACTGGCTGGACATGCACTTGCTCAAATATTGATTTTGGATCATTTTTAACCAAAAAAAAGTTACGGACTGCAGCTTTAACCAATGCTAACAAATAAAACCTTAATGTAAAATATTACCATAAAAATAGCCATTTGCACATTCATTCAACAATTTTACAAAAAAATACCAACACTCTTAAAATGAAAGTTTCTTTATTGGCATCAATGCTTCCCTACAAAAGCAAAAGACCTTAACTCGCTAGAGAAAAATGACTTTAAAGTTTTTTATTTGTCCAGCCAAATGAATTATAGGTAGGACACTGGAAATTTGGCAATTCGATGTTTTAGTAATGAAAATGATCTACATTAAAACATTGTGAGCTCAAACTTGATTTTCACCCCTATTTTGAAGTTAATGTACTCTGCCTTTGAATGGTCTGCAAAAAGTGAGAAGTCACACCAAGGCAAAAGACAGTAACTTCCACATTATCAATATTTGGTTGCTGATCACCATTTACAAAGTTGTTCTAGTATCACCTGTATACAATCTAGTGATCATGGTGCATAGTAATGTGACTGTATTAATTGTTTATTTTTGACCGTAACAAGCAGACTAAAAGTTAAACATGTGGGTGGATACCGAACGCTAGACATAGCATAATTGCTTTTATATTGACTTGAATGAAATAGCCTAACCTAAAAGAACGACTTGTGGATTGATGTGAACGCCAGCAAGCAGGAATAATGCTCAGAATGCTTGTGGATTCAAAATTTCCGATGACATTCATCACCATGGATTGATTTTATCGGGTTACAAGAAAAGGTAGGATATGGATTTAATTGCGAACTGTTAGTAGCCTACTGATTTTTTGATTGATCATGCTACATGCTACGGCATTCGAGTCCACACGCGTCCAACTAGAAGTGACAGCTTGGTGAATAATCTGCATTACAAAAAGGAAAAAAAAACATCTTTAAAGATTGTTCATGATTACATATTGCTGCCAAGGTATCTAGTTTTTACAATGCTTTGTTATATGGAGCTGTTTGGTGGATTGTGATCTGTCTAATTCGTTTGTCTAATAAAGTGCTTCAGTGACAGATCAGATGTATGAAAGTATACAAGTTACACCGTAATTAAAATGCGGCAGACTTTAATGGACAGTAAAAGGCAGTAAAAAGGCAGAACACTCCTATAACTCCAAGCTGGTACTGTAACTTCATATAGACGCGCGGCTAAACAAAGGCAGAACGCTGTAACTCAATTTGAGCGTTCCAAACAAAGTGAAAGAGCGGTAACTGTGTTATACGGTGTGCTGCCTTGGTTTCTCCGGGGCTTTTCGAAGTTACGGTTAAGACGACCCATTCTTTTCTTGGAAGATACTTTTGCACATGATAAAGGATGTCTTGAATATCCCCAAAATATCAATAACTAATTTTCGACCAAAATAGATGTTACGGTTTTTTGCCTTTGCACGGCAGAATGGTTCTATGAAGAACCTTAAACATCCATGCAACCTTTCAAATGCAGAAAAGGTCCTTTATGTTGAAAAAGTTTCTTTAGATTTCTAAAATGTTCTTCGAAATGGTTCTTTTAGGAACTGTTCACTGAAAGGTTCTTTGGGGAACCAAAAATTGTTCTTCTATGGCATCACTGAAAATAATACCCTTTTGGAACCTTTATGTTTAAGAGTGAATGTGGACAAATTTTCATTTTATAAAAAAAATAAAAGTCCTGATTTCGGATTTAAAATACTCAAAAATTTGCAAGAATCTGGACAAACAAAGTTACACAAATTATAAAAAAATAATTTTACTCGGTATTTTTGTATTTTACTTAAGAAGTAAAATTAGGTAAAAGTCTTGTTTAACAATTAAAATGTATAAAAATTAAGTGAATTTGTGCTTAAAAAAAGATTATTATTTCTTCTGAATTTCAAACCCCAGCGATAGATATTTTAGAAATAAACTTACTTAATTTTGTTATAATTTAAATATATTTTTATCTTACAAATTAAGTAATAATAATAATAATAAAAAATCTCTGACTGGGGTAAGAAACAATCTGTTTTTAAGT